CTCCATGAAGTTTGAACAACCCACCTCCATATTGGTGGAGGTGACCCATATGCCAAATCACATGAGAAGTAAGAATCCAACAAAAAGGGTTAGATTATTTCAGATCCGAAGAGCAGAGGAAGCAAAAAATGGAAGATTTTGAAAAATGGGGCAAAAATTTCCACACATTTGGATTTCAAGTTTTTGTTTGCAGAAAGAAAGGAGAGAGTGGCTAATGGGTTGGAAAGGGTGAGGTTCTCTCTCTCTAGAAGAAATTGCAGAAAGAAAGGAGAGAGAGAAGCTAAAGGGTTGGAAAGGTTGGAAGCACAAGAATCGAAGTGAGATTTTATCCAGATATGATTTGTTGGAATATCTTGAAGATTTTTTAATTTCTTAATTTTTTCTTTCATTTATTTTTAGAGCATCTTATAAACCTTTTTTTTTAATTTATTTATCAAATAAGGGGACTAGAAAGCAGAGGGACAAATTTAAAAATAAAATTTAGAAAACCGATCGTGTCGGTTCGGTTTTTAACCGAATTTGTTCGGGTTGGTTTTCATTTATGGAACCGAACCGAACCGAACCAACAATCTTACACCCCTACTATATTCTATACCATCAAGAAAATACATAATAATCTTACAAAACAAAAAGAATTATAAGTCCATGTCATACATATATTGTATACCATCAAGGAAATACATGATAATCTTACAAAACAAAAAGAATTATAACCTGAAAGGCAATTTATCAAGATCCACGGCATAGATCACCCCTCCCCTTAGCAAACTGATCTCATAGATGGCACAGAATTTGGCTAAAATTAAAAGCAAAATGTTCCCCTATTCCAATAACTTTTTATTACTAGTAACGGAACCGATAAGACACCATATTACTACAAGGCAAATAACAAAATATGTTTTTAAATTAAAATAACAAATTATGATCGGTATACCGTTATTGAATCATCACAATAATTGTTTTATCATATTTATAAATAGATATGAAAAGTTTGGCAACATACCTCCTCAAATGAAGTTATGGGTAGGAGAATCCATTCTTGATCAACCAGAAGCGAGTCCGTAACTTATAGCCATTGGAACGTGCATGGAGAAGAAGCTTAACTCAAAATAAAATTAAAATATAAATTTATTTAATTTCTCTTTAATTTAAATTGCATAAAAATTCGTAAAAATAACGATCAAATAAGTCGGCAATATAACAAATGATGGGCCCCCCTATATTCGACCCATGGAGTCGCATCAACTCTCTCTCTCATCCCTCTTTCAGTTATTGTTTTGTTTCAAAATGGTTTTTCATTCCTTTCCAAATAGCATAACAAAGTAATGAAACTCAAAAAAATATTAAAATAAAATAAATAATGTGTTTCTATATTACCTAACCTGTGAGAAGTTGTAATTAATTTTTATTTTAGTAATTTAGAAAATAGATCATTATAAATACAATACATTTCCATATAAAGCTTCTTTTTATTATTATTTATTTTTTTGAAAATGAAATTTCCTATATTAACAATTTAAAACTTCTGTAATTATATCATGTCTAAAAAAAATTATAATTAATTATTGTTAACTATTATTAAGCTTATATTATGAAAAGGTTACAAAAGGCGGGTACCTACCAAATTGAGAATATAGGGATTGTGAACCCGCCAAATCGAGAGCTAAGAGATTACCGACCCTCAAAACCGAGACCAAGGCATTGATTAGAACCTGCGAAACCAAGAAGCAAATTACAGTTTATTGGAAGTAATAATAATAAGAAAAAATAAAAAGAATTGGTAAGTTCATCTAAACCTTCCCCTGGCTTCAAGGGCAATTCGGTTCAGCTTTGAGTTCCAAGAACATGAAGAACTTCCTTGTTTTCTTCCTGTTTTTTGTTTCCTGCTGTTATTCTCCCCTGGCTTCAAGGACAACTTTCTTGTTCCAATTCGACTGAGTATCGGTTACATTTGATACCAGTTTCTGCAAACATAAACATAAATTTAAAAAAAAAAAAAGAAAAAAGGCAAAACCTTAGACTAGAGAATAAGCAACAATAGAAAGACCCGACACTTGAAGAATGGAGGGAGATTGGGCATCGAACCCCATGGAGTCGAGAAGGTTCGGGTAATAAATAACAAAAGATGTGTACAAAAAAGCTGAAGGTAAGGAATTAGAAATTATCTAAGATCATATACAATACATATAGGCAAATATAATGTTATGTTAGGGAGAAAACATCACTCAAAGCAACAACCAAAGGTTAGAAACAACAACGACCAAAACAACAAACAAGGGGAAAGAAACCGCTCAACACATATGTTAATATATAAATTTTAAAGATCAATCACTGTAATCTCTTTGATGAGTTCGAAAATGCAAATACACATGTTAAAATTCCTAAAACGGCAGGTGAAAGAAAAAGGTTCTCTAAATCAAAGGTGCAATAGAGGTCCAAATTTAAGTGAGGAAAAAAGTTACAAAGACAGAGCACCAAAGATGGAAATGAAAAGGCACAAGTACTTGCCATTTACACCATAAGAGAGAGGGAACGGGAGAGAGCAAAAGAGAAGAAAAGAGGGCGAGAGGTAAGGAGCGAAAAAAATTAGAACAGTAAATGAAAAAATTATATATTCATGTGCTTACCATCTAAAAGTAAAAGCGAGCCTTGTATAAATAAGCAAACAATGAATAAACAATAATCTTAATACAAGAAGGGAAGAAGATTGGCATCGAACCCCATGAAGTAGAAGGTTCGTGCAGTGGGTTAAGATTAGCACTACTGCACATGATTTCAATTACTTAAAAATTGAACATACCTGCAAACTTGAGAATCTAGGGATTGAGAAACCTCCAAATCAGAAGCCAAGAGACTACAAACCCTCCAAATCGAGGCCCATGCAATTAGAACCTACGAAACCAAGAACAAACTTACAGTACGATTTTCTGTACTTTCAAACCGGTAATAGATTGATAATGAGAGAGATTGAGTGAGAGAKTGGATAAAACCCTRACTGAAAACCGATAAATGAGATCAGAAAARAATAACAAACRAACCCTAACACRAGGTTGAGAAGTATATGGACATGTGTATGAWAGACAGGACACCAACGTAATTTCAGATCAAGCAAATAAACTTTAACATAAAGGAATAACAAGAGAAAGAAGACAATTCCAACACCGGTCATGACATTTTTCATGGAATTTGATATGACCTTAACCTGGAACAGAACATTCAAGAATATGGGCGAAGATTTGCATATGAATTGGAAAGAAAATGGCGGTTAGTGAGTAGATAGATAATTACCAGTACAACACACTGCAGCATGAGAAACTACTCTCTCCTATGAGATCTTTCAGTGCRCCTAAATTCACATCACGGATCGGACATGTGTATGATAGACAAAACCAACGGAATCGAAAACCTAGGGATGGGAACTTTTGTGSCGCCTCTCCCTCGGTTGTCGAACCCTAACATCCCTCCGACCACCACARTTTGAATCGGAGGCCATAGACAGAGGACGGAGAAACAACGGCTCCCGTCGACGGGATGAAGAAGAAGGAAGAGATGATCGAAGCGGTGGAACTGGTGGCATGCATCGAGCGATCACGATAGCGATGGCAAAGGGAGGAGGAGGAGAAGGAGAAATAAGAAGGCGGGAAATGTTCGAGGGGTCGTTTCTTAATCCAACCAGAAGCGACTCCGTACTTATAGCCGTTGGAGCGTGCGTGCAGAAGAAGCTAACTCAAAATAAACTTATAAATATAAATTGCTTTAATTGATCTTAATTTAAATTACTTTTTCTTTATCAACCTTAAATTAACCATTAAATAACTTGCAGAACTTCTTTATTAATAAAATTGTCAAATCTCTTGAAATATAAAAATAATACAAAGTAGAAAAATATTTTTTACTTTATATTTTAAATTTGTTTTAGTAAAAACTTCTTTTGTTTAACTCCATTTCTCCTCTAATTTCTCTTCACCTTTCCATAATAGTTAATAATTAAAATATGAATAATTTATAGAAACAAAAATTTGATTTTTTTATGCAAAAACTAAAATTTGATGACTAAGATCTCTAATAAAAATACTACCACTTCTATTTTAAATGTACTAAACAATTTACATTTTCTTTTAACAAAAAAATCTGGGCATCTTTACATTGTATTATCTTTATATAATATAAATTATGCATAAAAATATTTTAGATGTGATATTACTGTTTACGTTTAAACATAAGCCCTCATGGTTCAACTTCTGGTATCACCCAAAAGACCTAATTCATATAGAGATGTTGTCACTAACTTATATATCAAAGATCATCCCTTTATCTAGCCAATGTTGAACTTTGGTCGCTTTCCCAATAGGAGAAAATAAGGTTATGATCTCTTACATCTAGTTTGAAAATGACACTTTGACTCTTGGAAAAAACGACAAAAAGATCCTAAAGAATTTCTTTCCAGTGCAAAAATTCTTTTGGGAGCATCCCTCTAAGTCTTCAAAAAATTCGAAAGGTGGTGCATTGATGCAAAACCTATTGGGTGGTTAGGCAACTCTATCCACGTGACAAGATCAAGGAAATGACTCTGATACTATTTGTTAGGGACAATGAACCACCCTCCACATCTCCGATATGATATTGTCCACTTCGGGCATAAGCCCTCATGGTTTAGCTTTTGGTATCACCCAAAAAGCCTCATTCATATACAGATGTTGTCCCTAACTTATATATCAAAGATCTTTCCTTTACCTAGCCAATGTTGGACTTTGGTCGCATTCCCAACAGGGGAAAATAAGGTTATATCTCCTATATCCAATTTGAAGATGACATTATGATACTTGGAAAAAAATGACAAAAAGAACCAAAAGAATTGCTTTTCAGTGTCAAAATTCTGTTGGGAGCATCCCACTAGGTCTTCAAAAAATTCGAGAGGTGGTGGATTGATTCAAAGCCTATTGGGTGGTTAGGCAACTGATCATTCTATCCAAATGACAAGATTAAGGGCAATATTTTGATACTAGTTGTCAGGGACAAGGAACCACCCTTCATATCTCCATTGATACGATATTATCCACTTTGGGCATAAGCCCTCATAGTTTCGCTTTTGGTATCACCCAAAAGACCTCATACACATAGAGATGTTGTCGCTACCTTAAATATCAAAGATCTTCCCTTTATCTACGGGGGAAAATAAGGTTATGATCTCTTATATCTAATTTAAAGATGACACTATGATACTTGGAAAAAATGACAAAAAGAACCAAAAGAATTGCTTTTCAGTGTTAAAATTATTTTGGTCTTCAAAAACTTCGAGAGATGGTGCAATGATGCAAAACATATTGGGTGATTAGGCACTCGAGCACTCTACCCACATGACAAGATTAAGGGAATGAATCTGATACTATTTGTTAGGAACAAGGAACCACCCTCCACGTCTCTGATAAGATATTGTCCACTTCGGGCATAAGCCCACATGGTTTAGCTTTTGGTATCACCCAAAAAGCCTCATTCATATAGAGATGTTGTCCCTAACTTATATATCCAAGATCTTCCCTTTATCTAAGCCAATGTTCGACTTTGGTTGCGTTTCCAATAGGGAAATTAAGGTTATAATCTCTTCTATTCAATTTGTAGATGACACTTTGATTCTAGGCAAAAATGACAAAGAGAATCTAAAGAAAATCTTTTCAGTGTTTAAATTTTTCTAGGAACATCCCTCTCTGTGTTCAAAATTTTGAGAATTGGTGTTTTAATACTAAACCTATAGGGTAGTTAGGCACCCGAGCATTCTTCCCACGTGACAAGGTTAAGGGCATGACTCTAATACCATTTGTTAGGTACAAGGGACTTCCCTCCACATCCCCGTTGATACTATATTTTCCACTTTGGGCATAAGACCTAATGGTTTTGCTTTTGGTATCATCCAAAAGGCATCATTCATATAGAGAGGTTGTCTCTAACTTATATGTCTAATATCTTCCCTTTATCTAGCCATTGTTGGACTATGGTCACGTTTCCAACGCGAAAAATAATGTTATGATCTCTTATATCAACTCTTAATAATAGTTAAAATTGATTAGGTTGTCTTATACAATTCTTCAATGCACGCTTAAGGTACTTTGCATCTAAACGAAACCAAAAACAGTCCTGAAATTGAAGCAACTACCCTAGCCCATCTCATTTATATATTCTATACCATGAAGGAACTAAATAATAATCTCACAAAACAAAAATAATTACAACCTGAGGCATTTTATCAAAGATCCAATGCATAGATCACCCCTCCGCTTAGCAAGCTGATCTGATATATGGCAGTATATTTGGCTTAATTAAAATCAAAATATTCCCCTACTCAAAAAACTTTTTATTACTAGTAACCAAACCAATAAGACACCATGTTACTACAAGGCAGAAAACAAAATATGTTCTTAAATTAAAATAACAAATTATGTTTGGTTTGGTATACCATTATGGAATCAATGTGACAATAATTGTTTTCTCGTGTTTATAAATAGGTTTGAAAGTATTTTCATAGTTATTGAATAATAATAAAGTTCAAAAAGAATATCTAATTTGTTTGTTATGAAATATAATCGTAAAAAATTGAAAATGTGGAAATTATTAACTAAATAAACATTTATATACATTAAAAACTATACAAACGATCAAATTTTGTGAAGAACAGAATTTGCTTGTTGCAACATACCTCAAGTGAAGCTAGGGTAGGAGAATCCATACTTATTCCTCTATGTTTCTCAATCAAATACTGTATGTAGTAAAAGCCCTCCCTCGAAGCTTCTAATCTCGCCATCTGACTCATCCATGGCCCCCACACGTCTTGTAAATCAACAACTTCAAGCCATCGGTTACATTTCCAGAGCCAAAATACTAGCACCATAAATAAACAATGTCAGTAATAAATAACAATAGAATTAGATCACCAATGTCTATTTTACAAAAGCACAGAGGGGAAGAAGATGGGGAAAACCTTAGAGAAGACGCAAGGTTCAGGCAGTGAGTTAAGATTAGCGCTAGGGCACACATGATATCAATTACTTGGAAAAATCCTCTGGAAAAACTCACAGAAAATATTACAAAAACTGCATGTACCTGCAAAATTGAGAATCYAGGGACTGAGAAAGTTACAATGTCATTGGAAACAAAATCTCTCCTTCAAAAACATAAAAATCAGCCCCTGTAAGTTCCATTCCTTTCCAGCAGACTCCGTCCCAAAAGCTTCTCTATTGGTTCCTTCTTCACTTTTCTCACCAATCTTTAAAGTAATCTAGGCTTTCAATAACTTGTGGGCGTTGTCCTCTCAGAAAGAACATACRTAGAAAACTCATTACAATCATGCAAATGATATATCACAATTTCAAATTTTACCTTCAGCGAGGAGATGCCAAAGTGGATATCAAGTGAGGCTATGGCAGCATGACAGTCTCTGATGTTACACAACTACTACAAGGCAAAAAAAAAAAACTTTTTCAGACCAAACCTAGGCCTATTACACACACTTGATCGCAAAGGAAAGGATGAGAAGTACAAGGCAGAAGAAAGAGCAATAATTCATCSAACCATATTAAATTACAATATCCCAACTCAATACAASGGAATTAGTGAGTTCCCCAATTTAGGTTTTCCAAATAATTTGATAAGTGGTTCATCACAGCTTTTCAATTACTTCCCTACTATTCAAAACGTTTTAGAAGTTCCTTTGCTGTTGTTATCCAAAAATACATAAGAGTACAAGTAAATTATGTCAACGAAAACAGTACACAAAAAGGGGGACAAAAAACATACAAAAAGGAAAAATAATTCAAAGTTAATTTTAAAATTTCGTATAACCGACAAACCCAATTTGATCCTTCAAAAAATTTTCACAGTAGAGATTGCTGTTGTTAAAATACCTGGCATGCTAAGCCATCCTGCAGTAAATTCCTATAACCAGCCGAAACCTAGATAATGTACGCAGAAAGGGAAAAGAAATGAAAATTCAATAAACAGAGAACTTCTAAAAGAATGACTCCTTTTTAAGCATGCTCCTTTCTAAGGATTACTTAAATTAGGGAAGAAATTAAAATSAACGCAAATAGTAATCAAAAGCAATACCACGAGACGCAACTTTGGCAACAACAGGCATTCAAATCTAAGAGTACCTCAACCTTATCCAGCTTCGTGGCTCTGGCTAGCTATGAAATCATTTAGACACTCCAAATTTCCGAATTCCAAATCGAGAGCGAAAAAATAAAAGAAACAGAAACCGATAGTTACGAAAATMAAAATTTCTTCAGTACGACCAGCATAGTACTCCCCAAAAATTTAGGGTTTCGAAGTACCCAAAAGCCTTAAAAAGATGGATAAGAACAAACTTATGCCGATCAATGGGAGTCGGTGAGTTTACCAGAAACTTGGAATGACGATCGCAAAATTGAAAGAGCGAGATTGAGAATGGGGTGAAACAGAGGGRCGGTGGTACCCAGAATGCGATAAGAGCCTGCGAAACCAAGAAGAAAGTTACAGTACGATTTTCTGTACTTTCAAACCGGAAATACACTGATAACGAGCGAGATTGAGTGGGAGAGTGGAGAAAACCCTAATTGAAAACCGATAANATTGCTTTAATTGATCTTAATTTAAATTACTTTTTTTATCAACCTTGATTTAAATTACTTAAAAATTTAAAAATTAACCATTAAATAACTTGCAGAACTTCTTTATTAATAAAATTATCAAATGTCTTGAAATATAAAAATAATACAAAGTAGAAAAATATTTTTTACTTTATATTTTAAATTTGTTTTAGTAAAAACTTCTTCTGTTTAACTCCATTTCTCCTCAACTTTTCTTCTCCGCAAATTTTCTACCACTTTTTTATTATAATATCTTTTTCACCAATCTTTCCCTAATAGTTAATAATTAAAAATATGAATAATTTATAGAAACAAAAATTTGATTTTTTTATGCAAAAACTAAAATTTGATGACTAAGATCTCTAATAAAAATACTACCACTTCTATTTTAAATGTACTAGACAATTTACATTTTTTTTAACAAAAAAATCTGGGCATCTTTACATTGTATTATCTTTATATAATATAAATTATATCTTTTAGATGTGATATTACTGTTTACCTTTAAATTGTAACATAAATTATATTACATAACAATTTTTTGAATTGAAAAAAAAAATCTTACATTTATATACAATAATAAAATTTTAACTTCAAACTAATTTAAATTTTAAATTGTAATAATTTTATATCAGAAATTGAGATATATACTATAATATTTTTAAATCAAATAATTCAAAAAATTAATATAATTTGGGTTAAAAAACACTTTTAAACAAATAACTGTTCAATCCATTAACTTTAGTTTGTAACGATTTAGTCGTGGTACTTTTAAATTGGTAATAATTTAGTCATTTAGTTTTAATGTGTAACAATTTAGTCATTTTAAATCGTTACAAACTAAAGTTCAGGGACTAAATTGTCACTTTAGTGAAGTTAAAATTCAGAGACTACATTGTTATTTTAAGAAAAGTACACGGACTAAATCGTTACAAACTGGAGTTCAGAGATTAAACTGTTACTTTAGTGAACGTACAGGACCAATCGTTACAACATATAATTTATTAAAAACTATATCTCTCACTCTTCCTTCCTACCTATAATATTTGATTTCAAACTAACTTTTTCTAATCATAATTAACAATATTTATGTTATTTAAAATCTAATTATTAATTTCTTTAAATACTATATCTTTCATATTCTAGATATTAGATATTAATTATGAAAAGATTACAAAAGGTGCGTACCTGCCAAAGAATATAGAGATTAGAACCCGCCAATTCGAGACCTAAGAGATTACCAACCCTCCAAACCGAGACCAAGGCAACGATTAGAACCTGCGAAATGAAACCAAGAAGAAAATTACAGTTTATTAAAACAAAAAGAGAGAGAAAACGAACTGGTATCTTGGACAAGAATTTTCTCCTCTGGGTGAAACTCTTGTGCTCATCATACCGAGAAAAAACTCCTTCAGATCTAAAATTCCTTCAAGAATCATAAGGTTCAGCTACTAGTTATTTCATGTGTCAATCCATTATTCTCTTTTCTCTCTACCTGCGATCCAGTACCTCAACATATGTCATAACCAATTAAGTGGGATACTCTTGTTTACAACACAACTTGCAACAAAAACCTCAAATGAAGAGAAGAAGAATGCTTGAAGATAACAAATATGAGAAATCTGCAACGGATAAACTTGACTCTCAACAGTACAAATCAACACCGATCTCTTTTTAGTTTTCTTACACCTAAATCAAATTATAATTTTCTTCTTGTTAATTCGATTCTACACAAGACGTGTGCCCCAGACAAGGTTACTAGCTGCCGCCATATCGGGCCCAGATCGATGAGGCCACCAAAAACTTAAGCTTGGACTCTGAAGGGTCCCAAGCAGAGGTGAGGAACTGGTTCAAGTTTTTGACGCTGCGAAGATCTCAAGGACAAGTTATTTCCATTAAAGGTTTTCTGTTAAATTCCTGCAGATATATAAAGGGTAGTTGACTGATGGTTCAGTAGTCCCTGATCAAATGCTTCAAACTAAAGTTTTTGTCTTTGGTTTGGATTCAAACAAAAGAAACTAAAAATCGAGATTAGGCGGCAAACACGAAGATCAAGTAGAAGGTTCGGAAAGTGGGTTAATCGAGTGAGAGAAGGCGAGATTGAGGGAAAAAGAGTGAGAGACTGGAGAAACCGATAGCCTTCATTGCTGTAAAACAAATGAAATTGAAAAGGAACAAATCTGGATGGTTGACTCTGCAAAACAAAGAAAATTATTCATCCCACACAAAAATCATCTTAGGGTTAGGGTTCCTCAATACTGAATTTCGAAAAAAAAAATTATGGGCAATTTCCTGTTATATCTTATTACGATTTGGAAATTTTGATACAGAGGAACTAGAGCGTCATTCAAGCTTTCAATCTGAATATATCTCATTTTACACACGAGTCTTAGCTTGCTTATCATCCTAGAATAAGGATTATTTTCTCAAGTGATGCAGTTAAGTAAGGAAATTCATGCTTTATATGAAACAAGTGGTTATTCAGGCAACAATATCATTAAAAGGCTGGTGGCGGCATCACTATATTATATCAAGATCAGTGAAGACATACAAAAGAAGCATGAATAGATTACCCATTCGGCAAGTGAGGAAATTCATGCTTCATATGAATTATGATAATTGTGGTTTTCCTAGTCAAATACAAAAGCAGCAGCTGCAATAGAAGTTTCAACATTGAAATCAGGCAACAATATCAAAAGGCTGCTAGCAGCATCAAATTATATCCATATCAGAGAAAACATACAAAAGAAGCACGAATACATTACCCATTTGGCAAGGCTCTCTTCCCCCATTGGTTGGGATGCATCCACAGCCATGCGACCAGTGATACTTCAAGATATTTCAGAAACAAAAAGACAAAAGATTGTAAAGTAATTACAATACCAAATAAAAAGTATCATTCCCATCAAATCTATCATTATAAGCTGTGAAATTAAAAAGGTTTGAGATTTAATACCTCAAGATTTCTTCCTTTCTCAATCAAAAGTATCATTCCCATCAAATCTATCATGGCCTGAAAATCAACCAATCGATTAACTCTTTCAAATCAAATGTGACCATGGATCCATTATGAGCCGTGAAATTGATTTACTAAAAAAACTGCCTAACAAATCAAATGTAAACCAAAAAAACAGAAGAGTTGTTTAGTGGAAGTGATCAAAATCCAAACCAATAAAAAACATTTAGAAACTGAAATTTATAGGTCAACCTACCTAATCAAACAACTTGCACCCGTCTAAGTAAAAGTGTAATCTAGAGTCTTGAAAGTATAAAGCAGAGGGAGAGAGTTGTGAGGTTTATTAATCAAAGACAAAAGAGAGAATGAAATTCCTATTTTTTTTGCTCCACAAACTGCCATGCAGTTAGAACATATAAAGAATAAAGTTCCTATCACTAAAGATCCAACCCAGTTACTTCTCATTCTTCTATAACTAAACTAACAAGTGACCACTTCCTCCAAGTTCTAAAATAAAGGTTACCCCATTTCAAAAGAAAAAAAGTTTGATGTTCTAATCTCCAGCAATATTTAACTACCATAATATCTAATTGAAATAATCTTTGCATCGGGATAGAGCTGCAAAAAATGTTAAACTACCATAAACACTAGACATTAATATAATCACTAATAATATGAGATAGCTAAAGATGGAAGCTTTCTACCAAGTTTATCAATAGAATAGAGATGAAATCAGTAGAGAGAACAAAAAGAATTAATGTAGCTTCTGAAGAAAATTATACTACAAAACAATATCAACATCAATGATGTCTTATAAACAGTATTTCGATCACCATTCAATTTAAAAAATTCGACATGGATCATTCTGATTGGTGCCCAAAAGATATTCAAACTATATTAATATTACCTTAGGGCAAGCATATTTCTATAACTGATATAGAGTTGTTAAAAAATACAAATGGATGTATTCACGAAAAAAATTCATTTAAAGCATACAAAATATAGTGAAAAGCAATTTCTCAAAAAAATAATAATTATTATATATATATATATATATATATATAGTGAAAAGCACAACAACGAAACATCCCACATCCTTATCAGTTCTCCAAATTTTGTGCAAAAACCTAAGGGGAGTGTGTACTTTACATCGAGGGACAAATTCGTACCCAAAAATCTTAGACAAAGAAGAGACATGTTTCGAATATAGGAGGAAACAGTACAAAAAGATAATACCTCTGTCGTAGACACTTTCCTGACAACTTTTCACAATCTTTGCGCTACTTTTCACAACTTTTCACAATCTTTGCGCTACATAATGAAAAAGCACGCATTTTCAAAAACCTGTAGTGAGAGTTTTTAGATTTATGGAGCAAAAGAGCATAATCCTAAAATGGTGCAAACAATCAACAAAAGGAAAAAAGCTACAAAAACAATCTAAAATTAAATGTTAACTTCTTCGTAGAATGTAACCATTTAAATTAAATTCAAGAAATTACTTAAGTTACACATTCCTTTCAATATTAAAACAATAAAAACAAACTTCTACAAATAATTTCATAAACATATTTCAAGTGGTTGCAAACTTTTATGAGGAGGGCCTGATGAATAATATAGAACATGAATTAAAAATGCCATGCTACCTTATCCCAAGAAAACGGAAAAAAGGAAATAAAACATCAAACAAGTTAATATCTATTGTACGATATTGACTTGTAGTCTACCTTCTACCCACATGACAAGATTAAGGGAATGACTCTAAAACCATTAGTTAGGAACAAGGAACCACCCTCCACATCTCCATTGTACGATATTATCCACTTTGGACATAAGCCCTCATGGTTCAACTTTTGGTATCACCCAAAAGATCTAATTCATATAGAGATGTTGTCACTAACTTATATATCAAAGATCATTCCTTTATCTAGCCAATGTTGAACTTTGGTCGCTTTCCCGATAGGAGAAAATAAGGTTATGATCTCTTACATCCATTTTGAAAATGACACTTTCTCTTGGAAAAAATGACAAAAAGATCCTAAAGAATTGCTTTCGAGTGTAAAAATTCTTTTGGGAGCATCCCTCTAAGTCTTCAAAAAATTCGAAAGGTGGTGCATTGATGCAAAACCTATTGGGTGGTTTAGGCAACTCTATCCACGTAACAAGATTAAGGAAATGACTCTGATACTATTTGTTAGGGACAAAGAACCACCCTCCGATATGATATTGTCCACTTCGGGCATAAGCCCTCATGGTTTAGCTTTTGGTATCACCCAAAAAGCCTCATTCATATAAAGATGTTGTCCCTAACTTATATATCAAAGATCTTTCTTTTACCTAGCCAATGTTAGACTTTGGTCGCATTCCCAACAGGTGAAGTAAGATTATATCTCCTATATCCAATTTCAAGATGACATTATGATACTTGGAAAAAAATGACAAAAAGAACCAAAAGAATTGCTTTTCAATGTTAAAATTCTTTTAGGAGCATCCCACTAGGTCTTCAAAAAATTCGAGAGGTGGTGGATTGATTCAAATCCTATTGCGTGGTTAGTCAACTGAGCATTCTATCCAAATTACAAGATTAAGGGAAAGACTTTGATACCATTTGTTAGGGACAAGAAACCACCTTCCACATCTCCATTGGTTTCGCTTTTGGTATCACCCAAAAGACCTCATACATATAGAGATGTTGTCGCTACCTTAAATATCAAAGATCTTCTCTTTATCTAGCCAATGTTGGACTTTAGGTTGCGTTCCCAACGGGGGAAAATAAGGTCATGATCTCTTATATCTAATTTAAGGATGACAATATGATACTTGGAAAAAATGACAAAAATAACCAAGAGAATTGCTTTTCAGTGTTAAAATTATTTTGGAAGCATCCCTATAGGTCTTCAAGAACTTCGAGAGATGGTGCATTGATGCAAAACTTATTGGGTGATTAGACACTCGAGCACTCTACCCACATGACAAGATTAAGGGAATGACTCTGATCCTATTTGTTAGGGACAAGGAACCACCCTCCACATCTCCAATAAGATATTGTCCACTCCAGGCATAAGCCCACATGGTTTAGCTTTTGGTATCACCCAAAAAGCCTCATTCATATAGAGATGTTGTCCCTAACTTATATATCCAAGATCTTCCCTTTATCTAAGCCAATGTTCGACTTTGGTTGCGTTTCCAACAGGAAATTAAGGTTATAATCTCTTCTATTCAATTTGCAGATGACACTTTGATTCTAGGCAAAAATGACAAAGAGAACCTAAAGAAATTCTGTTCAGTGTTTAAATTTTTTTGGGAACATCCCTCTCTGTGTTGAAAATTTTGAGAATTGGTGTTTTAATACTAAATATATAGGGTAGTTAGGCATCCGAGCATTCTTCCCACGTGACAAGGTTAAAGGCATGACTCTAATACCATTTGTTAGGGACAAGGGACTTCCCTCCACATCCCCGTTGATACTATATTTTCCACTTTGGGCGTAAGACCTAATGGTTTTGTTTTTGGTATCATCCAAAAGGCATCATTCATATAGAGAGGTTGTCTCTAACTTCTATGTCTAATATCTTCCCTTTATCTAGCCCCAATTTATAACAGATCATGAAATCATTTGAAAGAAAGACACCTTGAAGATAAAAGAACGAAAAATCGATTGATGAAAATTACCGAATAAAACTTAAATCGGTCAACAAAATCACGATGCCTTCAAATAGTCTCTATATCCCCGTTCGAACTTCTTATGCATTCACTCATAAGTCAACCAAACAAAGATAGGAGAATCGACGGACTGCACCCCAATATGCATCGAGAAACGCAACGATAAGAGTGAATGAGGGGAAAGTACCTTAAAAAACAGAAGATCGCGGGATAAGATAACCCTAGGCATAAGGCGGACGCCGAGGATCGATGAGGAGTCAGATGGAAATCGAAATCACATAATTCAAACCGCTCTATTGGTTTTCATATTAGTTGCAATTTTAGTTGCTACTTCTTTGCCAACGCCATCATCACTAAGGTATAGGCCCCAACCTGAAAAAGAACATTTAGTCAGATACAGACACCATGAGTGATTTTTTTGGTTCAGTTAAGAGATGAATAATTAAAGATAACATTGATAGACAATTATTATCATGTTATAATCGGTTAGTCAATAGTAGTAATTAACAAAATATTATTTTTCTAAATTATCATTAATGATATCATATATTTCCTACCTTATGAATAATTTTATAAAGTTCATCAAACTATGAAACTCTTTAGCCACCGACACCCGAAGAGAGTTATTGAATATCTATAATAAAGAGTCGAAGTCTCATATTTACTCATTTGTGAACATCTATAAAGAGGTCAAAGCATTAAACTTTGACAACCATATCTAGGATAGTGGCTATTTTTCTAGTCCTCCAGAACATGCTTCTGCTCTTTTCTTCACTGGAGCTGTTAATTTGTGAAGGCTTTCCAGAACGTGCTTCTACTGTTTTCTTTAGACAAATATCTATCTCTCATTCAGTAACACATAGAACAACCAGAAACAATATTATAATGATAGTTTACATATCGGCCCTCCTAAATCAAATTAATATTCACCGAGAACTGGCTATCAGATCAAAATGCTTTTGACCAATTAAAAATGTGTTCTAGAAATTTATTGTCAGAAGTGGTTTGAGAAGTTTTAATACATATAAAAAGTACTTAAAACTGATTTTTTTCAAAAAAGTGCACAAGTTATTTTACTTAGAACACATACTTCAAGGCTACAAGGCCCAGACACATAAATAAATGTTGCATGACTCACGTAATGGATGGTGGAGAGCAGCAATGCATGAACATTGACCCTTTTCCCTGAAGGCCCGACGGTCTAAAAACTCTAGTCTTCACCACAGAACTCTGCTACTCCACTGCAAAAATGACTCGGCCAGCTACAGATGCAGAGAGTGAACTTACTATGAGTCAACCAACTCGGCCAGCGACAGTAGAATCTCAACTCAAGGCTAATTCTATTACCATCTTCAGTTCATCATTAAATTTTAACACCCATAAAAAGAACTTCAATACCCCGCTACATATCCCACCAAAAGTCTCCCCTGACTAAAATCATCCCCCAACTTCCGGATCAATTTTTAAAAGGGAAAAAAAACAACCTTGCAGATCAATATGGTAGGGAAGGGAGGAGGATCTACTTTCTCCATCACTTTTTCCCCTTATGGCTGAAGAAATAGAGAAAGAACGGAGGGAGGGGAAACATATATGAACAGAACCACTAAATTTTAATTAAAAAAATTTATCCTTCAATGCATTTCATTCTACCTGTCAAAAACTTCAGAAAGGAAAAAACATTCACTCAAACTTTGATGCGAATTACAATTTGGTAAAGTTAATCACACGTATGAAGTGTGCTGAATTCTAATATGCATTTTTGCATAAAAATTACACTCCAATGGAATTTGAAAAACTTACAGATATATTCTGATGAAATTTGAAAAACTTAAAGATATAAGTAAAAGACTCTGATACCAGTTCTAGTGTTTTTATGTACAAAACAAATAAAACATAAATCAAGACTTCACAACAATGATACTAATCATGTACAGATGAATCTAAAACTTAAAGATATAAGTAAAAGACACCAATACCAGTTCTATAAAAAAGAGTTTTATAGTCTACCCAAAACAAAACCACAAAAAGTTTGCAACAGAGCCCACAGAAATGAAACTACAACATATAGTAATTGATTTATGAATTCAATATGTTAATCACTTTTGCAGCAAAGAAAAAAAAAACACAACAACAACAGCTAGTGGCCTACAAAATTGTATAATTAAATGAACTAGGACCATTTACCTAATACACCTAACCAATTATGGAGATGGAACCATGAATTCCACGAAATCTAGAATTTGGACAAACATTTTTCCTATCCAACGCATGGCAACTATCCATTCTCTTTAGCACTCTTGTATCAATTCTCTTGTGCTCATTGATGAATGAGCCAACTGATCTGAACCACCGCATGAGATTTTGATGTTCTTTAACATAAAAAGCCATGCTTGAAGAAATTGAAAGAGAGAATCATTTACACCTCACTCATCTCTATAATTGCAAAGCACATCTCGCATCTTTTCGTCTAGATCTATGTTGTTTAGAGACAAAGAAATGTAAGTTTCTTATGACATATTTTGATATCAACTGTAAGTTGGTAAAGTTTGTCAATATATGGAAATGAAAAAGGAAGAAAACATGACAAACCCACAAGCAAATAAAACTTACGGATATAAATTGGCATACATTAAAGGCTATGAAAAGAAAAACTAACATCATGACCATTAGACACCAACATATTGCATAAAATCCAAGCCAAATACAATTCTTTAATAAGAAATAGCACTCACAACAAGGATGAATTGGTAAATACAAAAGCCCAAAACCCAGAGCAACCAACAGAGCCACAAAAATAATTACAAGGAAGGGTACTAATTATTCAAAATCTAAAAATTTTGCACTAATCTATGATGCTAGGCACCGGCTGTAAGTATCTAAAGTGAGGGAATAACATGATGATATGTGGGTCTCAATCAACAGCAAGTTAAGAAATTAAAATCAGCAAACACGAAGAAAATGTTGTATTGTAATTTGTATAGTATTCAAAACAAAACAAAAAATAATCCATCAGAAAAAGGCTTACAAAGTAGTAAAATTAATAAAATTGACCATTTACCTGATACACTAGACAAAAATGTTTTCTATCTAATGCATGACTAAATATCAATTCTCTTTAGTGTTCTTGTCACCGYAATGGGAAATTGGTAAGCAAAACATCACAATTCAACAGGCAAACAGAACCAAGAGACAGAAACTTGCATACATTACATGCTATGAAAAGAAAAACTAGCATCATGACCATTTRACACCGTCCTATTGAAAGTATCTAAAACCTACAAATTTGAATTATTCTCTGGTCCTAGGTGATAGGTGTAGGTGCTAGCTGCAAGCATCTCAAAAGAGTGAATAACATGATATGTGGTCTCAATCAACTGAAAGTGAACTTACTCAAACCCTGGGGATTTTGATTTCCGYACTTAACCAATACAARCACTCGAAGTTCAAGAATCAGCTTTATCTGACACAGGCTTTTTTTTTTTTTTTTGGGAAATGGCAAGTGATGGGCTGCTGCAATTAAAACCATCTAAAACATCAATTAGCTAGTAAATTCCATATAGCACAACAAGTATCACCAGACGAATAAAGAAATATGAAGCAACAAAGACCAAGCCAACTTCCTTCAAAATAGTATCCTATGGGCCTGTACAGCCAAAGAAGCCGCAGCAATTAAATAAAATTGTATAAATTCTCTCTGGATAGAAGAAATTCATCTTACTCAAACACTGGACTGGACCACTATGGCTCGAAGGAACAGCGAGGAACACCAGGGTTTGGATTTTGGTCTCATCGAGACTGAATGAATACCGTTGCCGTCTAGTGTGTGTGCCTTTAAGAATCAAAGAGGGCTCAGCTACCACTCAACAGGGGAAACTCCTCCACATTCACTGCCTCCATTATTCACCTCCCCGATGCAGTTTCATTCGATAAAAGGGATTTCGTTCAAGAACCTGCAATCTCAGACTGTTAAGAAGAAAGCTCATAGAAAGTGTGACTSATTTGTAGATATTATTGTATATWTTATGTAGAGAAAAGGATAGATACAAAAAACTATGTGAAGAAATGAGGATGTTTTAATTTCGTATCCATCAAAGTAATCAGATTGTTCTTAWTCCTCCAAAATTCTAACCAGTGAAACGAAAATTGAGAAGAGAGATATAATAATGCTACTAAACGATCCTTAAATTTGTTGGGTAATACCAGTGCATGTTATTATTGATCATGTTCACAAAAAAGTTACTAAAATTGTGRCTAGCATGTGTAACTTCAATCAGATTATAAATTCCCCACCTAGAAATTGAGTTTTCAGCTATWCCCATCGTGAGAGTTTGYAAAGCAGTATTCAACAATCGTCACCCTTCRTCGATAAGTAAATATGACCATGAYGGCRAAGATAAAATGCAAAACAAAGTGAATGAAAGTACAACATTCTAAGATGATGCGAAAGTTTACTACTAATAAGTGAATTCCAAACCAGGATTTATCACAAAATATTGAATTACTCATGACGACAGTTAAATCTTGTTCTCCTGTACAGCCGAAGAAGCTACAACAACTAAATAGATTTGTTTTAGTTCTCTCCGCATAGAACAAGAAATTGAACTTACTCGAACCCCGGGGATTTTGATTTCGGTCTCATCGAGACAAACGAATGTGGAATACGTCTAGTGCGTGCGCCTTGAATATTAAATAGCGAAGGAAGGTTCTGGCTCACCATCTGCAAATAAAAGGGTAAGAACAACTTCGCCTGCCATTAAAACCCTAATTTAGGATTTTGCGATAAAGAACAGAGAACAGTGCAGAGAGAGAGAGAGGGGTGGAAATCATACCGGAGGAGGAGGCGTCGTTGTGGAGATGTCGAGATACTCGTGCGGAGGAAACCGAAACGAAACCCTGAGAGATGGCYRTCAACGATTACGCAGCTAYGATGAACACTTTCTTCACTTCKGAAGCAAGATTTTGAAGGAGACCGAACCCTAATCTAGGATTTCAGCGATCGAAATGTGTAGAAAAATACAGAGCGCGAAGGAGTTGGAACGGCGGGAACCGGAAGGATAGATCCTCTCCTCTCTTCTTCGGCTTGCTTTTTAAACTAACTTTAACCGTGTCCAATCCGCGTCCTTCCAAAGGTTGACTTGGTCAACGGCCCGCTCCATTCAAACGGCTATAGGGAAAAAAAATTAATTTCATTTTGGTTCTTTTTTCGAAAATAAATACTCCGTTAATTTGTTTATATTTAGCCACGTTTGGTTGTTGATTGGAATTGAAGTTCTGAAAATGTTTGAATGGTACTATAGAAATATACGTTTTTCTTTCCCTAAATTGAAAAACGTTACAAAACTTGTACAGATTTTCAAAATCACGAACGAGTTTACAAGTGTTTAGGATGAAAAAATACAAAGAAAAAGTAGAAGAAATCATATATTTTCTTGAAACGGTAACACAATTCACAATCAATAGGGTCAAAATCACGTTTAAAAGCACGTTAAAAGCACGTTCAGAGACATTCGACGATCGTGTGTGCATTTCATCGGTAGTTACACARTGCAAAACAATAAAMCTAATTATTCAAAACAAAATAATCCGAAATTGGAATATGAAATAGCTTATACCTGGGAGGGAAACAACGAAAGAAAGCATAGTAACCTCARAATAACCACAGTGGTGTTGGAATTACGGTCAATTCATGATGTATTTCATAAATTGCATCAAAACATGACACAAAAATCCTAGAAGATAGAGATTCAAAGGCTGAAACAGAGTA